GTGTGTCATGTGGTATGTTGAATGCAGCATTGGTTCAAATTATACATTTGTGATGTCCAAGTACAAAGTCAAAAGTTTCTTATGAATTAGGAACTCAAATTACTGATATTAACAAGCTAGAAACTAAAAAGAACCTCCTTTTTCTATTTGCTTTTTTATACCTCTCATCCCTCTGACCCCATCTAGTGTGTACCTAGTTCCTTTTACCCATTTCCTTTTCTTCATAGGTTAAATGAAAAACAATTAAATAGAAATAGATATTTATTTCTATCATGTCATTCCAGCCCTTTTCTCCTTACTGGGGAAATTTGTTGAAAAAAAAATTGATGAAACAGAAGTCGCCAAGTAAAATATCAGCCAGATGCAATAAAAAAAAACGATTTGAAGCTGATTGAATTAGGATCATCCTGATAAAGGAGTTATCATACCAAATTGTCATGTGAGTGAGATTTAACAGATATTGTAATACTGTGACCAAGTATCAAGCAGAAAGAATAGATATTAATGAAAACAGACAGATCTGTAACTAGGCAGTTGAACCAGTAAAATAACCAAAAAAACAATTAAGGTAAAGATAAGTGCCTATTTGAATTTCGGATTAAAATTAGAATGTTAAAATGTTAAAAATAACTGTTATGGAACATAAGGTTTATATATAATAAACTGTGAAATGTATTTATTAGATTTTTTTTTCAGGTACCATTCATACGTACTCAGTAGTGATGGAGAATTAAAGCTGCCTACAGAAACTCCTGTAATGTAATTTTTATTATTATTTAGAGTTATTAGTTTCTTATGAATAGTGTGTGTGTTAAAGAATTAAAATAGAAATTCCAGATACTTTATGTAACAAAATCCTTAATAATTAGTTTAGATTTTATTTCTACATTGTATATGCTAATATAATCTGTGTACTATAGTACTAGAGTATTTTGAGAAAATCAGAGACAACACTAGTTAAATTTTAAGAATAGGTAACTTTTTTTCTAGAGTGTAAAGTGCTGGTAGTAAAATCTTCAGGAGAATTTATGTGCTGAAGCCACATTTGACTACAAATATTTTTAACACATTACATAATTTTATTATAGATTCCGATATTGTACATTACCTCCACTCACATAAATAGCTTTTTTCCTTCCCTCCATTGGTATTGACTAATTCCAATGCATTTCTCATGCGACATCCCTCCACCAATAAAAGTGTGACACACTCGGATTAACCATGTGACTCCCTCTATTCAATATTCGACCTCTCACTTCACGTTTGGCAGTAGTCATGTTCTGATGTTTTTTACTTTTGGTGCTTTTCATGTGCTTTGCATTCGTAAACTTACTAGTTTCAATTTCAAAGTGAGATTTCTTCATTAATTTTTTCATTATATTGAAGACACCTTTTACATTAAAATTATTTTACCAGTCTTTTTTTTTTCTCACATTTGCATTTGTCTATCAAACATTTTTGTTTGATTTATATTTCTGAAATGAATTCTGAGGTTCATGTTACCATTTCAAGTATCGTACCTCCTACAAGCACTCTTCCACAGGCTGCAGGTGGGGTGACCCATCATTGGATTTATTATAGATTATCCACTGAGAGATTGATCATTATGTGGGTCAACCACCTTCTCCTGAATTTGCCCCACCTTCTCCTGAACAAGTTGAACCTATTCGGGCTGATGAAGATTTTGATAGCCTTTTTCAACCATTGAATTTTGCCATGTCTTCCTATGCTCAACCTGTAGAATCAGCTAGGCCTAATACAGCATTTTTAGACATGATTTCTCAGGTATGTGATGTTTATACATTTCTCCAATTTCCTATAGTCCCCATCCTTCTTTGGTGTATGATAGTTCTTCTTCTTTATATTTAGTTTTCTCACCCTCCCCAGATATCAAGGTTCACAATTGTTTAAGAGTGTCAGCATGCTTTGCCCTCCATGGGCTACGGATCATCTTGATTTGGGTTAACATCAAGCTGACTGTCCGTTTCTTGACTCTCAGCAGCCCATGGTTTCTGCAGCTTCTCTAGCTCCAACTTAACCCTCCATTACCCAGATGAATATATCAGTAGTCCAAATGCCGACTGAAGAAGTTCCTCCAATGGACAATGAAGATGAGATGCCAGAGAAAAGGGAAGGTGTCGAATATGATGAGAAGACACCTGGAACAAAGTACAAAAAGACGATGAAAAAGATTAATAAGCCAATTGATTCAAAAGCTGAACACAATTGGTGAGAGTGGTAGGAGAAAGATCAAGAACAGCGGATGGCTGTCAAGGGATACAGAGGAGGGAACAAGCACCACAGAAGGAAACTGTGTGGGCAATATAACAACAAGGTGCTCATGAAAGAAACTGAAGTCTATCCGGATCAGGCCTAGGATAAAGGTGGGAAATGGAAGGAAGGGAAATTGGCGAAAAGGAGGACTTACCCTCCCTAGCCACTGAAGTTTTGGGAAGGAAAGAATGATCCAGATAAAGGAGAATATACGTTGGATGATAAAGAGTACATGAAACATCAATGACAAATAAATCAGACTAAGAGGAGAAGGAAATAAGTCTTAAGAGAAAGGTGAAACAAGGAGCACATGGAAAGTGGTTCGTATGGAGGCAAAGTGAGGCAATGAAGGACCACATTAACATCCCAGTCTGGAAGGGCAGCCTGACATGGTGGATGATGAATCTGGAAGGAACACATCAACAGGGAAAGCATAGGAGAGGTAAATACCTTAAGATATCAGGAAAAACAAAAGGTTTGGGACAAGGCCCCGCGATAACCCAAGATCGAGGAGACAAAAGACCCCAATCAAAAAGCCAAGTAAGAAAATTCGCAATATGAGATACAGTGGGTCAATCAGTGGAAAACCCTCGACTCAGAAACCAATGGTAGAAAATGTTCTGTTTATCTTGATAAACTTTCATGGAGGAAGGGCAATTGGAATGAGCCCGAAATGAAGCCACTCATTATGACACGCTGGATAAAAGGTCTGGATGAAACACCGGTGACTGAGGTTGACAAAGAAGGGAGAGAGAGACAGAAGAAATATCTTGGGGAACATACCATCTCTGCAGTGTGCATTGAGTGGCCATGGAATTATAATATGTATGTTAACATGGCTTGACAGTGTGGATTTAAACAGTTAGGTCAGGCACCACTTGCCACAGAGCAGGATCCAAATAATGAGTAATAATAATAAAAAGGGAAATAAGACTCCTGAAAAAAAAGAATAATAAAAGATAATTTACCTAGTCAAAGTCTCACAGAAGTCTGAAGAATGGCTACAGGAGGAAGATGACATACCGAGGAGGAAGAAACCCTGATCCTATGCAAATAGTGACGCTTGTAGGTTTATCCTCACTATAGAATTGCTTCATAAGTGTGCCTGTCACAGACCATACCTACCCATGGACTATATGGGTAAAGCAGAAGGGGATAGCTCCCCATCCATGCCATGCCTTGTATTGAATAAATTGGTATGGTCTGCTTTTGAAAAATAGGGCTTCATTGTCACCCATTGCAATGTCTCGGGTATTGTCGTTCCTCTGGACTTTCCACCACATTTTACCCCCGTTTTCTTCTAGTAGAGTGTGAGAGTCCTTACCACTTTCCAGTTCCAAGCCACTGGGGTGGTAGACTGTGAAGGCATCCTCCTGAATGGATTAATAAAATACAAAAAAAAATGTAGAAATGATCATAAAACCATTCACTTTAGAGTAGAGCAGTGGTGTTCTGCTGGTGTAGATGATGTGTGAAACATAGAAAGAAATAGGAGTTAGTCATCAAAATTGCACTTCACACCTTCGATTGGGATCCTTCATCCTACCCACACATAGATGTTGGTTCCCAGTGGCTGGGTATTGGATTTAGAGTAGAATCAATCAACATAAGTCCTCACACATGTATTACAGACATCTGTGTTCCTCCCTCATTTATACTCCATCAGTTTTGTGGGTCACAGTGGAGGTAATTGTGGATTGTTATGGTTCTTTCCCATCCACTATTCCTCGATGTTTCTTATTCTGAGGATGTTAATATCCTTGGGGTGGTTCTGGTCAATTTCACTTTTGAGTGTGATGGTTTATATTATGTAGACATCTTTTCAATACCAGATATTGGGTTCACAGATTGATCTATCAATTTATCATATTCACATGTGCTAGATACCCTCCGGTCTCATGAACTTGAGGCATGGGTTTTGGATGTAGTTGATTTGCTGTATACGGTCAGTCATGCCCTAGCCACTCTACTCCTAGGGGCACATCTTTTTAATTTTACCCACTTTTATAATTTATGGAATTGAGTTTCATAAATATTGCATGGTTCTCTCCCAATTGGATGTCCTCCTCTATTTTCCACCCATATATGCAACATCTTTCTACGATGGGTGAAGAGTATACCTAGTTCAGATGTGTTGTGGTCTTCCTCATCAGATCTTAAAATCTGTCTCATTTTGGATGCTTTCAAAGAATGCTTCTTACTTTCCCTCACACCAGTTCCTCCACCTATCCAATGTGGGATTCTGGCTATTTATGTGAGAGAAGGCAATGTACCATATCAGAAGTCATAATTTTTCTATACTGAAAATGTATTTGCAATAGGTACTTTACACATTCCTCTCTACTGAAAACCGGTGCTTCCATTTTCTGCCAAAACTTGAAGTGATAGTTAGGTAGAATTGAATAGAGGGAGTCACATGCATAATGAGAATGTGTCACACTCTTATTGGTGGAGGGTTGTCACATAATGATTTGCATGAATGATGCATTGGAATTAGTAAATTCCAATGGAGGGGAAAAAAAAGACTTGTGGCATGCATAAGACGTTTTTTTGCTTATAGAGGGCAGCAATGAATGAGAACAGCTATTTATGTAAGCAGGGGTAAGTACCTATTGGAAATACATTTTCAGTAAAGGAAAATTATAACTTTCAAACCAACGAGAAATAGAAATACCATTTCAGCCCTGTTTTTTGTTTTCCACAAGACTTGTTCAATATGAAAATTTATCAGCTTCAAATTTATAAGTGATTAGCTAAAAAAAAGAAAAACATTTCCATCATTTTCCTCATAACTGAAGAATGGTTTAGTTTTATATTGGTAAAATTGGATTAATTTCTATAGGTTTAATAAAAAATTAAACTTATGAAAAGTCTATTTTTTAGTGTATGTATGATTCTGAAAATAAAGTTTTTGATATTTAAAATTATTTTGGCAAAAATATGCAAAGTTTCCAACATTTATAATGCAATATTATTGGAGAAGAAAAATTTAAGACTACATCAAAGTTGACCCTTTAGAGATAAAATGTTAAACTTAGATCTAGTTGGAATATATAAATAGTTTGGTTTGTTATGAATTTCGTGCAAAGCTACACGGGGGCTATCTGCACTAGCTATCCCTAATTTAGCAGTGTAAGAATAGAGAGAAGGCAGCTAGCCATTACCACCCACTGCCAATTCTTGGGCTACTCTTTTACCAACAAATAGTGGGATTGACTGTCACATTATAACACCCCCATGGCTGAAAGGGCAAGTATGTTTGGTGGGACGGGAATTCGAACCTGCGACCCGTAGATTGCGAATCGAGCTCTCTAACCACCTGACCATGCCGGGCCAATAATGATAGGATAGCTAGGACAGCTATGAGAATGGGAATAGGAGATTTAGAGTATAAAATGTTAAATAATAATTCCAAAATAATCCTATATATTTATACTTAAACAAAATTAATGAGTTCAGGGCTGTTGAATTGGAAGACTACGAATTGCTGAAACTTGTTAGATTTAGAAAACATTGATAATAGGATTTTTTTTTAAATTTCGGGTTATAAGAAGACAGGGTAGGATGACTCTTTATATAAGTGATAAAATGCAGCCTGTTAGGATGGAAGACATAAAAATGTCTTGTATGTTTGTTTTTAAAGGCAAAGCTATCTGCATTGTGACAATCATGATACTTAATCCCGATATTTTTTGTTTATCGTTATAAGCCCTTAAGCTTACCACTTACACAAATGGTAGTCAAGAGGTTGAATGTATATGGGCTACAATCAGAGATTTCAAAGAGTAAAAAGTGTTTACCTGGCAACTGTTATAGGGTACCTGATCAGACTGATTGGGGCAATGTGAAATTGTTTGATGAGATATAGGCTAGTGCTAATATGAACCTCCTGGCCATGCCTGGCTGTATATATTTAAATAGAGTTTCAAACTTTTATATGAAAAGGTGAGAAAGGTCTTGGATAGAAAAGCTTATTTATGTTAGGCACCACTGAAATTGCTTTGTTCAGCCTTGCTTAACATTTAAGTACTTAGTTATAGCAATGTAGTGCCAATCAAATATGAATCATGTCATACTTGGTAACACATAAGATTAATATTGCAAGACATTAATTAATTTATATCATACATTTTGGCTGATAAGTGCTGCTATCTTTAGAAATGGACTGTTCATGGTTGCAAG